GGACAAGTAAAGAAGCTGGGTGCTATGCAAGGGTGAATACAAATGTATTCACTGAAATTATGGTAGATGCTGAACCATCCCATGCACCGGGGCGTGGCCCCTCGATTTTAATACTTGTTCTCCCTGGCAACACAAATGGAGGGGACAGGAGGCACATGGAAATGTTTATCCCACAGAGAGAAAAGCTCCTCCTAGTGACCAGCAGTAGCTCTCAGGGTAACGCTTCTGTTGGAAAAGTAGCCCAGAATCAGACACCTGACCCTTGGCCAGGAGATTCCAAGTGTTGAGGATTAAAGCCAGTGCTCTGAGCATGTGGGAACAGCTCAGTGAGTCCTAAGCTGTAACCTCAGCACAGTGGTAAGGAACTGACCCTTGTTGCAGACTGCCCTTCCTGAACACTGGGAGTGGAAGGCAATGGGAAACATGCTGCCCGTGACTTGATCAGATATACAAATCCCAATGCAGAAACTCAGCCAAGGAAAGAGCAAAGCAACGTGACTCCTCTGAAAGCCAACAGCTCCCCAACAACAAACAGCAACGACAAGGAAATGAACGCAAACCAGACAAAGAACTGCAAACCGACCCTAAACATGATCAAATGAGTGGGACATGGTAGGTTAAGGAGAGATAACGGAATTCATGACATACATGTAAAATAGTCCTAATGGAATCTGCTATTTAGTACAATTAAAACATGATCATAGAAATGAAGAAAAAGTCTGGGCGCTGAAATCCTAGCTACTTAGGAGGCTGAGATCTGAGTATTGAGGTTTCAAAGCAGCCCAACAGGAAAGTCTCTCTAAGACTCTTATCCACCTGAAAACTGGAACTGGCGCTGTTGTTCAAAGGGGTAGAGTGCTAGCCTTAAGCAAGAAAGCTTGGGGACAGAATCCAGGCTCTGAGTTCAGGCCCCAAAACCAACAGAAAAAAAAAAAGAAGAAAAGCTGGATATCTGTTTTGCTTTCTGTCTTTACAATGCAGCTTTTGCCCTCACGGTTTTTCTGCTTTGTAATCATCTGAATATTTCTTGTTTTATTGTTCATATTCTTTTTATCTTGGTTTTAAAAACATTTATTTTACTAGCATATATTTAGTTTGTATAAGAGGTTGTTCATTGTGATTATCTGAATATTTCTGTCTCCTCTAACATGCACTGGTGGCTCAAAGCTGTAATCCTACCTATGCAGGAGGCTGAGATCTGAAGACCATGGTTCAAAGCCAGCGTGGGCAGGAAAATCCATGACACTCATCTCCAATTAAAAAACCAAGAAGTGGCACTCTTCCTCAAAGTGGTAGAGTATTAGCCTTGAGTGAAAGAGCTCAGGGACAGCATTCAGGCCCTGAGTTCAAGCTCCCATGACCAATGGGGAAAAATGCACCTATTGAGATCTGAACACCTAAGGTGCTCAGTAGAGCCAATCATGCAACCATTCCAACCTGAATTGGTGCAAATGCACAACGAGGTTCAAAATAGTGCCAACCACAAAGAACGAACTTTTATCAGAAGTCAGACTGCACAGTTCCTTTTCATTGCAAATCTCAAGCTCTAATGCACACACCATGGAATCCTGTATCATTTTTGGCACTTATCACTTTGCTTGAAAAACGTGTCTATAAGTGCTGGGAATGTGACTTGGTGGCAGAGTGCTTGCCTAGCTTGCATGAAGACCCTGGGTTCAATTCCCCCAGCACCACATACACAGAAAAAGCCGTTAGTGACGCTGTATCTCAAGTGGTAGAGTGATAGCCTTGAGCAAAAGCTCAAGGACAATGTCCAGACCTGAGTTCAAGCTCCATGACTGACAAAAGTGTTTATACGTACTTGAGTAAACAGCTTTTTGACATATTTTATAAGCACGGTATTTTAATTAACTGGGAAAAAATAATATATAGCCAAGGAGTGTACTAATTTTTATTTTTATATTAAGGGATCACAGGTCAAGGACCCTAATTTTTCTTTTTTTCTTTTATTTATTTACTTTTTTGCAGGTCTTGAACTCTGGGCCTGAGCATTGTCCTTCAGCTCTTCAACTCAAGGCTAGCGCTCTACCACTTGAGCCACAGCACTACTTCTAGCTTTTTCTGCTTATATGGTGCTGAGGAATCAAACCCATGCAAGCCAAGCACTCTACCACTGAACCACTTTCCCAGCCCCACTAATTTTTCTTGAAAATGTCAGAAATGGTGTCCACCACACATTGAGTACTTTGGGCCAGCCAGCAGTCACCAAGTCAAGAAAGTTATCATTTGAAGACAACTTTATTTGAGGGTTGGAAAAGGTGTGAGGAAGTTAGACCTTTTGAAGTCACATAATGAATGGGGGGGGTAATAGAGACTCCCTCACCTGACAGCCTGCTATCAGAGGACCAAAGACTCAGCCAGATGAAATCATTTTCTGTGCAGCAATACATCCCCAAGGGAAAGGGCGTGCTTGCTCAAGGCTGGAATCACCAGAGGGACAGGAGCCCAGCGACCTGACACAGCCGGCTGTAAATATCAACCCTGCCTCTGTCCCTCCTCATCTGCACAGGACACGGCTGCTGCTTCTGGGGTCCTCACGTGGCTTGGATACGGACGCCTGACCCCCACTCTGTTGGCCTGCCCGGTTACGCATCTTGGTTCTCTGTCGGTGACCACCTCACAGAAAGGATCTGGAAGTCGCGTGGAGGTCTCCACTTACATCCATCCAGGTGAGCTCGTGGCATGCACCAGGCAGAGGTTTTGAGAGA